GAGAGAGAAACATCCATGATGAGAGAGAATCATGGATTGGCTGCCTCCTGCAAGTCCCCGACTGGGGATGGAGCCCACAACCCGGGCATGTGCCCTTGACCGGAATTGAACCTGGGACCTTTCAGTTCGCAGGCCGACACTCTATCCACTGAGCCACACCGGCTAGGGCTCTTCAGACTCTTTATCTCCACCTCAGTCACATGTCACATATGAAGGCTTGCCATTTTTAGCCTGAGCTCTGCATGCCAGTCATTTACATTGTACATTACAGGCCAGTGCAGCTCAATCTTAGCAAAAATGGAGGAAGGACTAAATTAAACTTTGCTGGGCAACCCTGAGATTAGAAGCATCGAGTGGTTTTTCTCCTCCAGGATGAGGCAGAAGCGGGCACTGCAGGTCCAAGCTGTGTGGCCTTGGGCAGGTGTCTTGGCCTCTCTGAGCTCAGGTTCCTCATCTGGAAGTCAGGGATGGCTACGCTGGACCCGAGAGGCTGCAGTTGTGGAGAGAAGGCACCTGGGCTTTGGAGGGGACCAGGCCTGGGGGCTAAAGCTTTCTCCATCATACTCTTTGTGGGCTAAAAAATGGCTCAGATGGGCACCCGTTACAGTCGGAATCCACTTACAGCAGCGGTTCTCAACCTATGGGTCGCGACCCCTTCGGGGGTCGAACGACCCTTTCACAGGGTTCGCCTAAGACCATCAGAAAACACATATATAATTACACATTGTTTTTGTGATTAATCACTATGCTTTAATTATGTTCAATTTGTAACAATGAAATTGGGGGTCACCACAACATGAGGAACTGTATTAAAGGGTCGCGGCATTAGGAAGGTTGAGAACCACTGACTTAAAGGATTTTGACCAGCGTTTAAAAATAGGAATAGAATAGAATAAAAAACATGCAGGATAGGGTGGTATTTCGTGAAATTATGTTGATGTGAAATGATTTCTGACTGTGCATCAGAAAAGTTTGGAAGCCACGGGTCCAGGGCCCCCCCGAGCTCCCCATCCCTCCCCCCCATCCCCACTCCGGCTTCGCACACTGGTTAGCAACTCCCTTTGTCCTAAGCAAACATTTGGGGTCTCCGGGCCGCGCTGTCTTACACTCCGCCGCCTGGTGGCGCCCGTGCTCCGCCGTGAGCGGGTTCTGCCGGATCCTCTGTCCGAGGCGGTGATTTCCTGGTCGCCCCGTTTACCGGGACTAGAAGTCCTGACCACGAACATAGCCCGCGAGCAAAGCGCCGCAGGAGGACTCCGGTCCAAGGGATGTGGTCACCCTGGCATCCATTCATCCCTTCTTCATTCCGCAGGTTCCTTTTTTTTTTTAATATTTTCATTGATTTCAGAGCGGAAAGGAGAGGGAGAGAGACTAGAAACATCAATGATGAGAATCGTTGATCAGTTGCCTCCTGCACGCCCCCTACTGGGGATCAAGCCCGCAACTGGGCATGTGCCCTTGACCCTAATCGAACCAGGGACCCTTCAGTCTGCAGGTCGACGCTCTATCCACTGAGCCACACCAGCTCGGGACGCAGGTTCTTTAAATGCCTCTGTGGGTCAGAGGAAGTCCCGCTCTCAGAGCTCACATCCCGGTGGGGAGGGCAGACAGGAGCCCAAACTCACGACCTCTGCAGTACAGAGAGGCCTCCCCACCTGCCTGGTCTGGGCAGGACAGACGCGGTGGAATCCCTGCTCTTGGCCCCCAGCCCGCTGTGTGACCTGGGGCAGCTGGCTTAGCCTCTCTGTGCC